TTGTCTTTTCTACACATCACCCAGATATCATTCTTTGAGAGACAAGAGATTCTCATTTTGACATTTCTTTCATATCTGTAGTCCTTATTTAACCCTTTCGCTATTTTCTTTGTGATTTCTTTTTTCTTTTATCTAATTTCCAATCGGTTACTTAGTATACATTTCCAAACTATGTGAAATTCTATACCGAAAAATTCTTCATCATTCTTACTCTTTATTTTTCCTCCCTGTGTGTCTATCCATTATGATATGCCCGGTTTCTGACAATTGTACACAGACCACTGCATCATTTTCCCTTCCGTCCTACGGTAGCCACCAGATTGAAGTATGTCGTTTGGTTTTCATTTTGTATTCTACAGAGAACACGTCTCATCATCTGGCTTGCGTGATCGATACTCCATCTTGGCTTATATCCCAACGCAATTTACAGAGAAATGTTATCAGAGAACAGGGGAAGCGTCTGTCTTTGATAGACTGACAATAATGCTGTTTAGTGAAAGAAAAGTAAGATTAAGAAAGCGAAAAAAGTAGAGAAAGAGAGAATAAAAAGCGGAAAATGCAATAAAACAGAACTGTTAAAAGTGAAAAATAAAATTTTGACTAATGGAAAAGATAAATCTGCAAGAGGGAATGTCTCACAAAATATAAATATTGAATGAAATAAAACGAAGAAAAAAACGCCTGGAAATGAATGGGAGGTGTTCGCCGAAATAAGTAAAATGTAAAAACAATAAAAATACTGATCAGTTATTTACACGTCCATATGCATATATTCTTGCTTGCGTACTTGTGTATGCGGATTTTTCCTGTTTATCAGATGATGAAAATGGTTAAAGAGTGAAAAAATACATGGTATAATTTTTTTAAATAAATCAGGAAATATAAAATCCATCTAGCCCTGTTTCAAAGATTGTCAAATTGTAATATTATTTAATGTTATATGACACAGTAATGACACCTTCCACAGTAAAAGATGGAGGAAATTTTACTTGTATAACGGTAGGTCAAAAACTGAATCTTAGGTCGATAAAAAGAAAGCGTGCGAAGGAAAAGAGATAAGGAAAATTTATTTTGATAACACAAGAAAACAAATTAAGTGAAGCAGTAATATATAACTTGCCGCAGTTTGGAATGTTGCCTTTTTAATAGATTTCACAAAGAACTTAATGCCAAAATAATTCTCCTGAATTCTGATAAAAAAAACACATCAAGCAAGGAATTCGATTCAATTTTATATTTGAAACCTCTTTGTAACCACATTGAGCGTTCTGGAACTCGTATGGATCAAAAACTTGGACATTATCAGTTCGTCTTGAAAGATGATTGGATAGAACATATACAAATAGAACAAATACAAATCTATTTAGAAAAATCCAAAATAACAGTTGGAGAGCCGATGAAATGCTTAACACTATTTTCGGAGAGCTGAGACCAATTACTCTTAAATATAAATAATATATTACAAAATACCGCCAAATTTCAAAATTATTTTTTTGATGTGCTTGCTTTGATTTCGATGTATATGTTCGTGTTGATAAGCCAAATGAAGCATGAATATATAAACATAGTTTAATGTGGCTGGAGATAATGCCAAAAAACAGACAAAATATACGTTTTCTACCAAAGATTGTCTGTAGAAGCAGATCGATGATCCAACTAGACTCATATGCCAAATCTGTGAAAATGCTGTAATTAGCAAACCATCATTTCTGACAGTGTTTACGAGACACAAATTGGTTTGGTTGCTGAAAAGAGTTATACTGCTACCTTGTATTTTGGTTGCATAAATTGTTATAGAAGTAGATTTTAATGTTTTGATTTAAGAGGAAACGTTACAGGCATCAGTTATTTATTTGCCTGACAAAAATATTACGGCGTTAATTTGTTAACAATTACTCATTCCAATCACCAGGCGGCTTAATTAAGAAAAAATATGATTGGCATATACCGTGTTCCATATCAAATGACAATTGATATTTACTGATATATAAAATAGATGTCATCGACTTTAAGTTTGTTTGCTGAATAATAGAAACATTTTATTTTACTTAATATGAAATAAGCTTTAGGATTGATTTCAGTGTTACTGAAATGGCGCTTGGATTTTAGCTGTTCTTCAAGTGGACATCTCTGAAGGAAAAACTAGAAACATGCAGACATAATATATATATTAGTATATAAAGGACCCACACACACATATATATATATATATATATATATATATATATATATATATATATATATATATATAGATAGATAGACAGATAGATAGATAAATATACAACACAAAATATAAATATATAATACATATATACGTTATATATGTATATGTTATATATGCATATATGTTTATATATATATATATATATATATATATATATATATATATATATATACATCACTATATATAATACACTACGTGCCAAATTATTACCAAGATAACTTTTTTCTAATATTTCAAAAACCCTCGAATCAATTCACACAACATTTTCACACAATGTTGGCAACACTAACCTGCGCAATTTCTGAAATTTTCGTACTAATCTGCGCAATGTAAACAAACTGGCGCCATATTTGTTATCAGCCCGGTGATTTGATCGTGCCAAATTATTAGAAAGTTTTAGTACAATTCCCAGAATTGATCAAACAAAACGTTTATTAATGCTGCACGTGAATGTTTATGATCAAAAGAAGCTAAAAATAAGATATTCAAACAAATAATAACAGATACAAATAAAGGCACAGTTTTAAACAAATTAATAGGGAATGTGCTTTCTCTGATACTTCATTGCTTCATGATACTCCAAATGTTTTCGATTAGGTTCAGTTCCGGAAAATCTGTTGGCCACTTCATTTTTCAAGGTCCATCGTAGCCGAACTGTTTCAAATATTCAGTAGTCTTGTGAGCAACAAGTGAGGGAGCATTATCTTGCATAAAAACAATGGCCCATCTGAGGCAAATCTTTGCCTTTTCAACCGCGGTTCAAGATGCTCCTATGGTACTCTCTATGGGCCCACTAATATCTTTACAATAATACCACCCCAGATCATTATGCCTCCACCACCTTGGCGTCTCAAACACTGATGGTGATTCTGTCCGTTCCTTACCCAGCCTTTGCACCACTTATCTGGCTCATCAAGTGTTGCTCGAGTTTCGTCTGTGAACAAAACTTCAATCTTCATATTGTCCTCGGCCCATTTCAATCGATTTTGAATGTGATTTCTCGTGAACGGAGGCTTCGATACAGATTTGACTGTTGTTGCTATTTCCCTCAGATACCGACACCGAGTACTTTTAGACACAGTAGTATCCCCAATGCGACTGAAAAGCTCTTAACTGGTAAGTCCAGGGTTCTTCGTGGCCTCTCGTTTAAGTCATGACATGAGACGACGTGAAATAACCCTCGGCTTGCCTTTATATGCCCTTTTGCGTACTTGTGTAGGGTCGGCGGTGAACTTTTTCACTGTTTGATGACACCTCCCTATCATTTTAGAAATTTCTAGGGTAGACTTATCTTTTGAGAGTTCTGAGGTGATAGTTTTCTTTTCAGCATCAATTAAATTGCTTTTACGGCAAAACTTTTCACTAAATTCTTACACTTTTCTAATAATTTGGCACGTGCAAATCATCGCACTGATAACTAATATGGCGCCAGTTTGTTTACATTGGGCATATCAGTACGAAAATTTTAGTGATTGCGCGAGTCAGTGTTGCCAATGTTATGTTAAAATATTGTGTAAATTGATTGGACAGTTTTTGAAATATTAGAAAAATAGTTACCTCGATAATAATTTGGCACGCAGTGTATATACACATATATTTATATAATATATATATATATATATATATATATATATATATATATATATATATATACATATATATATATATATATATATATATATATATACATATATACACATATATAGTATATATTTATAAAATAAATGTATGTATGTATGCTCATATATAAAATATATATGTATGTACACTCATTTATAATATATATATATATGTACACACATATATATATACTACATATCTCTCTCTCTATATATATATTTACGCACACATATATATGTATACACGTATACACACACACACACATATATATATATATATATATATATATATATATATATATATATATATATATATATATCAGCTCTCCTGACGATCCGCTTAGACAGGTTTGTCAGGCTCACTAGGTTTAACTAGGTCTGCTCTACGGTTGTATTGAACTCTTTTTAGTTAGTTGTTTACTGTGTCGTGGTTTTTTTTTTTATATTTGAATCTGTATTCTAAAGGATTTTCGACAGACTTTCATGTTCCTGGCTCTTTCTTTTTTTAAAACGTTTTTTCCTTCGAGATTGATTTGATTATTGGCAAATCAATAATTCGAAGGTTTTTCGAAACGGGTATAGTTACTGATATTTGTATATATATATATATATATATATATATATATATATATATATATATATATATATATATATATTATTAATAATCAAACACATCCTTTTTCCCTATTCCGAAATAGCTCATTCCCATATGAAGGAAACGGATTTGTTTTTACTATTAATTATATTGCTCTGTATAAATAAAATAAAATACATCGAGCTCTTTTTTTTTTTTTTGATCAGTTGTAATATTTTCATATACTTCAAGGATCCACTTTGCAATATATATATATATATATATATATATATATATATATATATATATATATATATATATATAATCGTTGTCTGTTGATCTTGTAGTTGATGTCTTTTTGCTTTGTCTCGTTCCGTTTTTTTCGATAACTTGTCTTTTGCCCTCTGCTGTTCCCGTCGTGTATGCCCAAGCCGATAGTCATTTCGGTTAACGGAGACAAATCGAGGAGTATTTTTTCTCGTTTCCGGTCGCTGTACTTACTTCACTGATCGATACTTGCGCCGAAAATCCGTCTGTTGTGTCTCGATGTTATCGGACTTATTCGCTTAAATTGCGATCAGTAATGGTGTGGAGTTCGAATACGTTTGCATCGATTGCCGCCGCCGAAAGTGAACAGACAGTCACCGATATTACCTTGTTCTTCTTCCGTCTCATGTAGTGGAAACCGAAATTTAGAATGATTAGCTTCTTTGCATCGTCGTTCGTCTTTTGTTTTTTGCAGGCTGTCGCAACCGCCACCTTCAACTCGCTCTACGCAACAATCTGTCATCCTCCACGGTCAACCGCTTAAGGGTATAGTTTAGGGTCAATTGCCCGTCCGTCCGCCTCTACCCACCGACCATCTCCCTGTTTTTCGTGTGTTGTCGCTATCCGCTGCTCCATTACCACAGGACTCGACGTGCTAGACACGCTCCTTCTCGTCGGTCACGGCAGATATTACCCTCACTTGCCGGTTTCGTTTCGGTGAACGTTTCCGTTTATTTTTCGTCATTTTTCCGCACGCTTCTGGTGGAACCCTGTCGCCGTCGCTTACGTATTTCTTCGGATTCCTCTTTTGCGTCTCACACGCCATCGCTGCAAAGCGCAGCGTATTGATGTGAAAAGTGAATGTGCCGTGAAATGAAAACAAAATCAATGAACAAGAAACACGAAAGCGCAGGCATTTGGAAAGGGCTCACTCATCTATCTTATACACACCGTTCGCTGCTATTGCCGAAGTCGATAACGAAAACGAAACACAAACAACGATACTTGGTTGATCCTGCCGGGAGCTATATGCTTGTCTCAAAACTTAAGCCATGCAAGTGCAAATTCACACCATACATTAGAACAGGCGAAACCGCGAATTTTTCATAACCGGACATAATCCTTTGGATCCTAAAACGATAGATAACTGTGGCAGTTCTAGAGCGAATGCATGTGACACAGGTCTAGATCGGTTAGCGCGTTGTCATCGTATATCTACCGTCACGTGCTTGGGCACATGAGTTGACCATTACGGGTCGCGGCACTACATATTAGACTGACACTGATGCAGGTCATTTCGTCCTCTCGTCGTCGTGGTACGCGCAGTGTGCGGCGACCGAACCAAAGACTTTGTTGACTCTAGATATCTCAAAGGTCTTTTGCACTGGCTTTCACGTCTAGCGACAGGTCTCTCAAGGTCCCACCTTATCAACTGTTGACAGTCGTTGAAGTACCTACCGTGGATACAACAGGTTTCGTGGAATCGCGTTCAATTCCGGAGAGGGATCATGCGAAACGGCTACCACATCCAAGGAAGGCAGCAGGCACGCAAATTAACCACTCCCTGCACGGTGAGATAGTGACGAAAAATGTTGAGGTCACGCGATCGGACTGAGTACACGTCAAATCCGTTGACGAAGAACAACCAGAGGGCAGGTGTTGGCGCCAGCAGCCGCGGCAATCCCAGCTCCAGTAGCGTATATTAATTTTGTTCCGGTTAAATGCTTGTAGACCAAACTAGACTTTGACACTTTAGTGTTTCCCACAGACATTGCTCTGTCTCTTATTTTACCGTCAAGGAAAATGATAAGGCCCATGTCTTCATGTTACTGCGCAGTATGTATGTCATCATGTGGACATACTTAGACGATTCCTGATGATTACTTCCCCAATGAAGAAACGATGTAATTGTGGGACCTCCAAGACATTGTGACAGCTACATATTTAAGGAGTATTATCCCAAAGTTAAGTGGGAAACCCGGACAAACAAGTAAAGCCATTTTTACGGCCGCTGGATTTGCTCTTGTACCAAAAACCACCAGAAATAGCATCCTCGGTACCATGGCTTCCGTGGGAACTCCCTATAATATGACCACTTAATGTCCCGTCACAGGAACTTGATACTTCAATAGGCTCGAAAGTACATTACGTGTGACATGTGTTGATATCCGTTCACTGACGAAATCACAGCGACTCCTGACGACATGACGTTTGGCAGTTTATTGGGTCTATTTTGGAGATTAGCGTCAACAGAGTTTACGACATCAAAATCAGCGTGCAGTAGTCATGTCTTGGGCTGGTGTCATTGGTGACAGACTTGTTGGCCCAGTCATGGCGCCTGAAGAATTTAAATAATTTGAAGCTTCCTACTGCAGTCTCCTAAAGGAAATCTTGGATCTATGAGCTAAGGACTCTAGTATTCATGCATGACAACGCTCTCCTCCACTCTTTCAGAATAACCAAATCATTCCTAGTTTCATACGGCATACAATGTGAAAGATTGATGGAGTGGCTGCCTGCTTCTCCGGAGCTCAACCTTATCGAAAATCTTCGGTCCATCATTAAACAAGATGTTTATGCTGACGGGCACCAATTTATGTCCAAATATATCTTATGAGCGACCATCAAAGCTAAAGCAGAGGCAGTTCAACTTGCTACGATAAAAATTTGACAGATTCCACGAGTAATAGGGGTTTTAATGTTATCTGTCGAAATTGCGCTCATGTAGTCGAATAAATCATTACATCAACAAATCTTGTAATATTAATATGGTTTTCTGATAACTGTATACTCAAGCTATGTTAATATGTATTATCATCATTTATTTTCTCCCGAAAATGAATAGATGCGCCTTTTGCTTTAGCGTGGTTCACGCAAAAACCGTCGAGTTTGAAATATATTATAAAGCATATTATACAGAACAATGTAAACTTAATAATGATGTTGCCATATTGTGTAAATTAGCTGAAGTATATATATATATATATATATATATATATATATATTTGTATATATATATATATATATATATATATATATGCAAACGTGTGTGTGTATTTTCATTATATATGCGCTATACATATATATATATAATATGAATACATATATATATATATATGAATACATATATATATATATATATATATATATATATAATATGTACGTATATATGACAATAAAATTGATCATATCGCACATATTAGTGCAGGTGTTAATGAAATAGAGCTGAAATGAGACAGCAAATACACACACACAAACACAAACACACACATGCATATATATATATATATATATATATATATATATATATATATATATATATATATATATATATAGTAACTCACACCTCTAGTACGAATCTTCAAGTGCATAGTTTCAAAATGGCTGTTTTACGGTTTGAATGAAATTTATATCTGGCTATCAAGACGCTTATGTGTTGAAACTTAATGTTAGATAACTTAAGTGACCGAAAAGAAGGGGAGAAGAAAATAATAAGTATGTCATTTTAATTTTAACCTGATAAAATGAAAAAAGTAAGTGGAGGAAAAATTTAAAATGTTGGAAAAAATAATGTTGAAATAAGTGTAATTATAAAACCAGGAAATGGCGATAAAAAAAAAAATGTGACATATAATATATTGGAAAAATAAAAAAAAAAATTACAAAAACATTAATAACTGTTTTTAGAGCTAATCTGCTGTAGTATATTAATGAAGAATTTTATTTTTGTGTCTACATTTACTATTTATTCACTCTGGTTCAATAAGTCGTGGGAGTCTATGTTTGTTTAGAATAATTAGCTTTTCATTTGAACAAAGACAACAATTGTCGCCTTTTCCTAGAATCAATTTCCCAGTTAACAGATGGCTAAGGTCCCTATCTCTCAATTGCCACAAATATTTAGAGAGAGGAGGGCTATGTTTATATTTTACGTTTTTAAGATCATTTTCTACTGCTAAATACGCAATTTCCAAATGTTTTCTGTGGAGCCAAAGTAAAATTTAACATCGTTACCAGAATTTATGCTCAATCGGTATATAATGTTGTCGGTCAAACATTGACCGTTTAGTGGGCATATCGTATTTCTTAGGCAGTTACATTTACTTACAGAGATATTAGTGTAATTATATGTGGGAAAACGTTTGTTTAATATAACATTGTTATGGTGGGAGATAGTTGTCTCTTTGTTAGTAACGCATGAATAGCTAATTTTAGCTTTTTTTTTTCTTTTTAAAGAGCCGTTTAAGTATTGGTGAATGATTGAAGAACTTAATGAATTGTGAAAAAATGTTGCGACTGATAGGGTAATTGAACCATGTGGTGTTGAACCATATGATGTTAAAATTAGAATCTCTATTGACTGTATAATTACAACTATCGACAAATTCATGTTATAGTAGCGGTGATATAAAGATGACCCGAAGAAAATAGTTGCTGGCTTGATAGATTGTATTGTAGTTTTTTCGCAGTCTGAGTAAGAAGATAATCCTTTTGAAGAATCCAATCCCAATTTGGTGAATCAATCCTGGCTTGTCATTTGGGTTCGACTGCCGTTCATTATCAGTGAAAATTCCAATCTTATTTTCTAAAAATCAAAACAAGGTACCAAAAATCACAATAGTATTTCAACAGATTGTCACTCGTGCATAGAAACAAACAAACAAACACACACACAAAACGCGTATATATATATATATATATATATATATATATATATATATATATATATATATATATATATATATAATATTTTCGCGTATATGTCAGTAAATTGGTGATTTTGATTTTAATTAATATGAATGTCTATATAATGTATTGCCTAAGCCGCCTTTCTTTTTTTTCTTTTTAGTAAACTTTTTATTTATTCGATTCTACTGGATATATTTTCATTACTTTATTCTTATTCCATATTTGAGAGTTTGATAGCATTATGCTATAACCGCAAATTATCGTTTGATTGATAGCAGTTGTTGTCTTGGACACATTCAATATCGGCTTACCAATTAGATGCCCTTTTATCAAGATTCCTACACGAAAATGGCACTCAACTTGACCCTCTTCTGAAAATATAACTTCTGCTTTAAATCTTCTGTGGTTATGTCATTGTTTTGCTTACATTCTAGACACTGTTCATTTTCCTTACGAAGAATATTCTTAAGAGTAGATAATCATCTTGTCTTCCTGGATACTCTTTGTTTCATCCTAGTTACTTATGAATATTTCACCTCTGTTATCTTTTTTGTTAAGCATTATCCATTTCTTTCGATTATATACTTGCTTCACTTCTTACAAATTGTTCTTCCATATTTCTTCTAGATACATTCCGAAATACCCGAAATGTTCTTTTTTCGTTTGGTTTTTCAGGATTTCTTAATTGTTTTTTTTTTTCTTTTTAGTCGGTATGACTCCAAGCAAGATCGTAAAACGTAAGGGATTACAGAGTGTTGAAGTTTTTTGAACGGAAACATTTTTGCAGATTAAAGTCGGCTAGAAAGCATGGATCCGGAAAGGAGTTCCGCAAAGCAAGAAGTGCAAGAAAAGAAACAGCTAGCATAGAAATACGGCTACATTTAGCAAGCTCAACTGTAAATTAATGAGATCTCGACGCGAGAATGGCACTGCGCTTAAATTCATAGAGTCTAGGTACCATAGCGAAGAGCTCATCCGAAATTATTTACCAAAAAGGCACAAAGGTGCATCCTTACTGCGGTTGGTGATTGTAAACGAGCCGCCAGATTAGGACAAATGATACTGTTGATTCTTCTTTGTATCTTAACATAAACAGCAGTGGCACCGGACCTTATGTGGCAGTAATGTTCTAAGAATGCTAGACATATAGATATGTAAGATATATTCTGGAGAGAAAAATTATCTCGCCCGAAACAGTGAACTGTGTTTTTTAGCAGCTGAGCTAGCAATAGTTTCAGTATAAACTTTTAACTTCATGTCAGCTGAGAATGTGAGCCTGAATAGGCTCAACGTGTCACTTTCCTGGAGGTTTACATCAGGCAGAAAGGGGTCTCACAGATGATTAATTAAGACAAGTTTAGTATGAGAGGCGTTAAAATTGACGAGTCGTTTTTTGTCCCAATTAACGAGTGATTTGAGGTCGTTTTGAATATTGACTGCCATTTCCCTGACTGATCAGCCTTAATATCGAGGCAGGGGTATATATTTGTGCTGTTAGTAGATGCCAAGTCGGGAGCTGATGTCATCTGGAAGGTCGTTGATGAAAATTAAAAACAGCGTAGGACCAAGGATGAAACTCTGGGGGTCACCTGCGTTAGTACGAATGGATCTAGACGACTGGCCGTTTGAGTTAACTTTCATTTCATGATTTGATAGGAAAGACTGGATCAGCTCAAAATTATCTCATATTAATTCATATTCTCATTATACATTTTATTCTCATTGTTAAATTCAAACACATCAACATATTTTCTATCAAACCTATCATCATTTTTTTCATTCTTGCTCATTTCTTATATAATTCAAATATTAGTTAAAATTATTTTTGTATTAACTTTTCTATAAATTATACCTAATTCTTCTAGAATTGCGAATTTATAACTCATTTAATTTTTATTCTAATGTTTCTGGCCCAATTCACTGTGTGTTATCTAATAGCGGTACGTTTATCTATGTGCCATGTTTCTTCAGGATGTAGACTATTATGGCTCTCCACAACTTCCTGTCTTTTGTAGCACCTAGAATTTTTTCTATATTTTCTAAATCCTGCTTTGATAAACATTATACA